GTAGAACGGCGGCAGAGAGGTGTCGGTGCGCAGAAACAGCGACGGGTCGGCAGTGGAAGGAGCAAACCCAAGTGCCGCGAGCGTAGTCCTCAGTGTGTCGTGCCACTCACGTGGCGCCTGGCGGAGACCGTAGACTGGACGCCGGAGACTCCACTGGGTACCAGGAGGGAAAGACCCAGTGAAGCCAGGTGGGCGACGCAGCCAGATCTCCTCGTGCAGGCTGCCCTGCAAGAAAGCTGTGCTGAAGTCGAGAGAGTGCAGCTCGTAGTCACGGTGAGCAGCAACGTGTAGCAGAACCCGAAGAGTGGTCATCTTCGGGGTGGGGGAGAAGGTCTGAAAGTAGTCAACCCCCTGCCGCTGACTGAAGCCACGAGCCACGTAACGCGCCTTGAAGACAGGCGGAGAACCCGGCGGCCGCTTCACCCTGAAAATCCACATGCCACTGACGATGTTCGCCCCAGGAGGGGGAACAGCGTCAACGTAGGTGCCTGTGGACTTCCAGGAAGCCATCTCTGCATCCATAGCTGCCTGCCACTGAGAGGAGTAGGGACCCTCTATCGCCTCCGCGTAAGAGCGCGGAGTCGGGATGTCTGGTGCATCCGGGTCTCCCTCAGGGGCTAGCAGTACAGACGCGAGACGAGGTGAAGCGGCGGCCAGACACTGGAACTCCTCCTGCCTGTCCTCAAGGACGTCCGTGCCAAGAGCACACTCACCCCCGACGGACGGAGGACAGACAGACGCAGACTCAGCAACAAGACTGGCAGCGTAGTCTAGACGACAGCGCGCAGCAAAGTCGACAAGCTCAGTGACAAGGGCAGACGCAGCAGACGACTCGAAGGAAGGGTCAGTGACAGCAGTAGCAAGGAGACGCGTGACAGTAGGACTGGCAGCACGAAGAGAGTCCGACTCCGGGTCGGCAAGAGCAGGAAGAGAGGAAGCAGGAGGAGAAGGCAAAGGGGCACGCAGAGGAGCAGTGGACGGACGCAGTGACATCCGGTGCGTGCCAGGGACAGGAGGAGGACGCTGACGCGACCCGCGACCACTAGCGCGCTCAGTACGAACAGGCGACACAGGACGAGACACAGGCTCACGACGCTCAGTAAGACCTCCAGTCGGACCAGCGTAGGGAGGAGGAGCAGGCAAAGGGGAGGCAGGCTGTAGCTGTGGCTGTGACCGGACAGGCTGCGGACCCTCTAAGGGAGGAGGAGGAGGTGTAAGACCAAGAACCTGCTGCAGGAGCGGAACGAAGTACGGTCGGGGCCGCTCGGCGACGCTAGAAACAGCAGGAACAGCACCAGCAGCCCCGGCAGGAGCACCCACTCCAGTAGCACCTCCAGCAGCACCACCAGAAGCTCCAGAACCTCCAGCCGCAGCACCAGGAGCACTGTCAGTCGGGCCGCCAACGGCAGGCTCAGCACAAACACCCTCAGCAGGACCAGCTCCAGGAGAACTCTCAGACTCAGCAGCTCCAGCACCCACAGTACGAGCGCCGGCGGGGCGCGCAGCAGCAGTACCCTCTGCAGCCGAAGAACCACCAGCACCAGCAGCACGCCTCCAGCGCCCGGCAAACCACTCACGCAGCTCGTGTGGGGAGAGTGGCTCCCGGCGAGACGAAGCACCCCCAGGCACAGCACCTCCAGGCTCAGCACCCCTAGACACAGCACCCCCAGGCACGTCACCCCCAGGCTCAGCACCCCCAGGCTCAGCAACCCCAGGCTCAGCACCCCCAGGCTCAGCACCCCCAGGCACAGCACCCCCAGACTCGGCACCTCCAGACTCAGCACCCCCAGGCACAGCACCCCCAGGCTCAGCACCCCCAGACCCGGCACCTCCAGGCTCAGCACCCCCAGACTCCGCACCCCCAGGCTCAGCTCCCGCAGCAGCACCAAAGGCACCAGTGACCTCGACAGGCTCGACCGCGTCTACCTGGGACACACCTGAAGGGGCAGGACCCTGAGGGGGGAGGGGGACTACCGGGGGGGGACCTGGTACCAAGAAGAGCGGGGGTGGGGGGAGGGACGGAGTGCGGTAGGGGAAGAGGCGGTAGTAGGGTACCGACTCGTCGAACGTGACGTCCTGGGAGGACAGAACACGTCGAGAGGTGGGGTGGTAAAACTGCCACCCAGGGGCGTCGGGGGGGAACCCCAGGAAGACGCAGGGAGAAGCACGAGGGGATAGCTTGTCCGCAGACAGGTCGCGAACAAACGCCCGAGATCCCCAGACCCGGAACGCCGACGCATCGCCAACCTTCCCCGTCCACAGCAGGGCTGGGGAGGTCTCCGGTCGAGAGACCCTGGGGTGGAGGTTGATCTGGTGCGCAGCGTACCTGACCGCAAACGGCCACAGAAAATGGGGAGCAGCCGCATGCATCATGGACGTACGAGCGACGTCCATGACCATGCCAATGCGGCGCTCAGCAATCCCATTCTGCTGCGGTGAGTCCGGAAGCGTGAAGGTCTGACGGATGCCTCGCGCACGACAGTAGGCACTCAGGAGGCCAGAGGAGAACTCTCCGCCTCTGTCCGAGTGCAGACGCAAAACAGGGAAGTCAGAGCCAAAGCTCCTCCGAAGCTGGAGACGAGCTGCGCGGATCCAGTCGATCAACACCGCAGTGACCTCACCCTTGCTGCGCAAGGGGAAGACTGTGGTGTAACGCGAGTAGTCGTCAACCACCAGCAGGAAGTAGCGCTCCTGACCCTGTCCACGGACGCGGGCTGGGCCCCACACATCCATGTGAAGCGTCTGCAACGGGGCCTCTGTCGGAGGAAACTGGGAGGAGTGAGGGGCAGCACGCTGGCGCCCCTCGACACAGGGGACACAGGTGGGGCCAGGGCCCGGAGGAAGGGGAGGGAGAGACCGGGGAAGACCAGACACAAGGACTCGCGAGGCCATGCCTCTGAGCCGAAGCAGAGAGGGGTGGCCAAGGCGGTGGTGCCAGAGGAGGGTCTCGTGAGACAAACGACGGCACGAGCAGGGGGCAGACTCAGGACCAGACCTGGACGCTGCAGCAAACACCTGACCAGACGAAGTGACCCTACCAGACTCAGCACCTGGAGGAGAAGCAGTGGTCAGAGTGTACAGGCTCGACCCTGGCCGACGTGTAAACGTAGCCAGGTGGCGACCTGTATCCGCCTCCGTGCAGTGGGTCACCCGCTGACGAGCAGGGGTGAACTGGTGGACACCCGCATCCTGGAGGTCAGCACCACTCACCAAGTTCGTCGAGAACGAGGGGAGGTAGAGACCAGTCAGGGTGCCAGAGGGGGCCGCCGGACACGGGAGGACAGTGGAGAAGCGAGACAGGACAGGCCCCCCAGAGGGGTCAGCCAGGGACACCGCAACCGGCCGACTCAGCGGCGTGAGAGTGGTGCGGTCCCGAAAGAAGGAGCGAGACGCTCCAGAGTCAAGGGTGAAGGTGTGAGAGGCCGAAGCCGACACAGTACCTGAGAGGGCAGACTCACCAGCACCTGAGAGCACAGACGCACTGGCACCTAGAGCAGCAGCCTCACTAGTACCTGACGCGGCAGTACCAATGCCCGGGTCGGGCGGGAAACACCGGTAACAGTCATCCTCATCACTACCAATCGCAGCATACATAGCAGAGAGAATAGCATCAAAATCAAGATCATAAATAGCTACACCAGCCCTAGACAGCTCTCCCCAGCGGGGGATCTCAGCTGCCTCCGGAAACTGCTGACGCCAGGCGTCAGTCAGGCGGCCAAAGCAGCGGCGGGCTGTGTGGGCGCCTCCACACCTCTCCCCTGAACGGTCACCGGTGCGGAGAACGTAGGGGCAAGGACCAAGCGCACCACCACGCTGACGCTGCGAGTACCACTCACGGAGCTGCTGAGGGGCGGGGACGGTGCGAGAGCGCTGCTGCTGCTGTGGCTGCTGCTGCGGCTGCTGCTGCTGCTGCTGCTGGCGCTGACCACCCCCGGAGCTGCTCCGCTGGGACGAGCCACTCCGACCCCCGCCTCCACTGCCACCCCCGCCTCCACCGCCACCCCCGTCTCCACCTCCACCTCCCCCACCAGGACCGTCGCTCCCACCGCTCCCACCGCCTCCTCCGCTACCACCTCCGCCGCCACCTCCGCCTCCACCGCCGCCACCAGTACCTCCACTCCCGCCACCACCCCCACCGCCACCCCCACTCCCCCCGCCACCCCCACCGCCTCCTCCACCGCCCCCTCTAGCTCCACCCGCTCCCTTGCCCCCCTTGCCCTTGCCAGCGCGGCGTCTGCCGCTGGGGGCAGACGCCGCGCCGACCGACTCAAAACCAGTGAGGTCGGCCGCAGCGGCAGAGGCGACAGAGGGCAGCAGGGGGGAAGGACCACACCCCTCAAAGATAGGGGTGCGAGGGTCACCCCGAGAGGCCCCTACAGCGACAATACTCTTCTCAGCCGCTAGCAGGGACTCCTCAAGGAGGTCGACAGTGAGAGTGGTGGGACAGACAGAGAGAAACTGGTCCCTAACGACACGAAGGGACTCAGGGAGACGGGTGACGAGAAAGTAGAGAGTGATGTACATGGGAGGAGGGTTCGCAGCGCGGAACTCAGCAGGAAGGGCAGCGCGGTAGCGGGTGTCACTAGCACGGAGGTGGGTAACGAGGTCAGCGACAGTGGGAAAGGAAGCGAGGTCAGGGAAGAGAAACGGTAGCATGAGGCGGCTAAGGGTAGCGGAGGAAGGGGAGGAGTAGCGTGCAACTACAGCGTCGTACAAGGCCTGAGCGGTCTTGCACTGACTAAAGTGGGCACGCTCAGAGGAAGGGAGGTGGCGACGCACAGCAAGACGTGCAGTAGCATCGCGGGTCGCCCACTTGGAGCGAACGGCAGAGTCAGCATCAGCAGGTGGGGCAGGGACAGCGCCAGAGACAAAGTCAAAGAGAGAGACCTCATCTATCGCATCACACAGTAAGTACAGCTGCAGGTCTTCAATCCAGACGGCAAAGTCAATGGCCCTCCCCTCAGCGTCAAAGGTAAGAACATTGGGGGTGGCCATGACAGCAGCTGAAAATCTCACCGGGCTGGGAGAGGCGGGTAGGTCAGCAGCAGAGGAACAGCAGCACGGCTCCGCAGGCGGCTCGGGCGGCGCGGGCGGCTCGGCGGCGGCTCGGGCGGCGGCTCGGCGGCGGTTCGGCGGCGGCTCGGCGGCGGCTCGGCGGCGGCTCAGGCGGCGGCGGCTCGGCGGCGGCTCGGCTGCTGCTGGGCGGCGCGGGCGGCTCGGGCGTCACGGGCGGCTCGGCGGCGGCTCTGGCGGCTCGGCGGCGGCTCGGGCGGCGGCTCGGCGGCGGCTCGGCGGCGGCTCGGCGGCGGCTCGGCGACGGCTCGGCGGCGGCTCGGCGGCGGCTCAGGCGGCGGCGGCTGCTGCTGGGCGGATCGGCGGGGCCGCGTAGCAGAGTGGCGGCGGGGCCGCGACCGAAGAGGGCGGCGGGGCCGCGTAGCAGAGGGCGGCGGGGCCGCGTAGCAGAGGGCGGCGAGGCCGCGTAGCAGAGGGCGGCGGGGCCGCGATCGAAGGGCGGCGGGGCCGCGTAGCAGAGGGCGGCGGGGCCGCGTAGTAGGGGGCGGCGGGGCCGCGTGGCAAAGGGCGGCGGGGCCGCGATCGAAGGGCGGCGAGGCCGCGTAGCAGTGGGCGGCGGGGCCGCGAGGCAGAGGGCGGCGGGGCCGCGTAGCCGAGGGCGGCGGGGCCGCGATCGAAGGGCGGCGGCGGGGCCGCGTAGCAGAGGGCGGCGGGGCCGCGATCGAAGGGCGGCGGGGCCGCTAGGGAAGGGCGGCGGAGCCGCGAGGGGAAGGGCGGCGCAACGGTCCGCTAGGGGCGACACGACGGGTCGCTAAAAAAAAAAAACGCGCCTCGGGGCGCGGTTCGGTGGGCCCTAGAAGCAGTCCCTAGGAGGGAACCTGCTCTGATACCATGTGGAAACAAAGAACGAGAATGAAATGACTATGAACGAAGTGAGTACAAATAGGAAACCCTAATTGTGTTGTACCCCCTATGGGATACCCCACTATAGCCTACAGAAACAAGTAAGCTATAAGTTCTGACACAAAATAAAAAGAACAAGTACATAGCGTGTGCAAAATAGCAAGAACAAGGGCCTAGCGTGTGTAAAATAAAAAGAACAAGGGCCTAGCGTGTGCAAAAAAAAACCAACAAGGGCCTAGCGTGTGCAAAATTAAAAGAACAAGGGCATAGCGTGTGCAAAAAAAAAAGAACAAGGGCCTAGCGTGTGCAAAATAAAAAAAAACCACGGCCTAGCGTGTGCAAAATTGCAAGAACAAGGGCCTAGCGAGTGCAAAATAGCAGGAGCAAGGGCCTAGCGTGTGCAAAAAATCAAGAACAAGGGCCAAGCGTTCGCGAAATAGCAAGAGCAAGGGCCTAGCGTGTGCAAAATTGCAAGAACAAGGGCCTAGCGTGTGCAAAATAGCAAGAGCAAGGGCCTAGCGTGTGCAAAAAATCAAGAACAAGGGCCTAGCGTTCGCGAAATAGTAAGAGCAAGGGCCTAGCGTGTGCAAAATTGCAAGAACAAGGGCCTAGCGTGTGCAAAATAAAAAGAACAAGGGCCTAGCGTGTGCAAAATTGCAAAAACAAGGGCCTAGCGTGTGCAAAATTGCAAGAACAAGGGCCTAGCGAGTGCAAAATAGCAAGAGCAAGGGCCTAGCGTGTGCACAAAATCAAGAACAAGGGCCTAGCGTGTGCAAAAAATCAAGAACAAGGGCCTAGCGTGTGCAAAAACTCAAGAACAAGGGCCTAGCGTTCGCGAAATAGCAAGAGCAAGGGCCTAGGGTGTGCAAAATAAAAAGAACAAGGGCATAGCGTGTGCAAAATAGCAAGAACAAGGGCCTAGCGTGTGCAAAATAAAAAGAACAAGGGCCTAGCATGTGCAAAATTGCAAGAACAACGGCCTAGCGTGTGCAAAATTGCAAAAACAAGGGCCTAGCGAGTGCAAAATAGCAAGAGCAAGGGCCTAGCGTGTGCAAAAAATCAAGAAAAAGGGCCTAACATTCGCGAAATAGTTAGAGCAACGGCCTAGCGTGTGCAAAAAATCAAGAACAAGGGCCTAGCGCGTGCAAAATAAAAAGAACAAGGGCCTAGCGTGTGCAAAATTGCAAGAACAAGGGCCTAGCGTGTGCAAAATTGCAAGAACAAGGGCCTAGCGTGTGCAAAATAGCAACAGCAAGGGCCTAGCGTGTGCAAAAAATCAAGAACAAGGGCCTAGCGTTCGCGAAATAGCAAGAACAAGGGCCTAGCGTGTGCAAAATAAAAAGAACAAGGGTCTCGCATGTGCAAAATTGCAAGAACAAGGGCCTAGCGTGTGCAAAATAAAAAGAACAAGGGATAAACGTATGCAAAATAGCAAGAACAAGGGCCTAGCGTGTGCAAAATAAAAAGAACAAGGGCCTAGCGCGTGCAAAATAAAAAGAACAAGGGCCTAGCGTGTGCAAAATAAAAAGAACAAGGGCATAGCGTGTGCAAAATAAAAAGAACAAGGGCCTAGCGTGTGCAAAATTGCAAGAACAAGGGCATAGCGTGTGCAAAAAAAAAAGAACAAGGGCATAGCGTGTGCAAAATAGCAAGAACAAGGGCCTAGCGTGTGCAAAATTGCAAGAACAAGGGCCTAGCGAGTGCTGAATAGCAAGAGCAAGGGCCTAGCGTGTGCAAAATAAAAAGAACAAGGGTCTAGCATGTGCAAAATTGCAAGAACAAGGGCCTAGCGTGTGCAAAATAAAAAGAACAAGGGCATAGCGTGTCTAAAATAGCAAAAACTAGGGCCTAGCGTGTGCAAAATAAAAAGAACAAGGGCCTAGCGCGTGCAAAATAAAAAGAACAAGGGCCTAGCGTGTGCAAAATAAAAAAGAACAAGGGCATAGCGTGTGCAAAATAAAAAGAACAAGGGCCTAGCGTGTACAAAATAAAAAGAACAAGGGCATAGCGTGTGCAAAAAAAAAAAAACAAGGGCATAGCGTGTGCAAAATAGCAAGAACAAGAGCCTAGCGTATGCAAAATTGCAAGAACAAGGGCCTAGCGAGTGCAGAATAGCAAGAGCAAGGACCTAGTGTGTGCAAAAAATCAAGAACAAGGGCCGAGCGTTCGCGAAATAGCAAGAACAAGGGCCTAGCGTGTGCAAAATAAAATGAACAAGGGTCTAGCATATGCAAAATTGCAAGAACAAGGGCCTAGCGTGTGCAAAATAAAAAGAACAAGGGCATAGCGTGTGCAAAATAGCAAGAACAAGGGCTTAGCGTGTGCAAAATAAAAAGAACAAGGGCCTAGCGTGTGCAAAATAAAAAGAACAAGGGCCTAGCGTGTGCAAAATTAAAAGAACAAGGGCATAGCGTGTGCAAAATAAAAAGAACAAGGGATAAACGTATGCAAAATAAAAAGAACAAGGGCCTAGCGTGTGCAAAATAAAAAGAACAAGGGTCTAGCATGTGCAAAATTGCAAGAACAAGGGCCTAGCGTGTGCAAAATAAAAAGAACAAGGGCATAGCGTGTGCAAAATAGCTAGAACAAGGGCCTAGCGTGTGCAAAATAAAAAGAACAAGGGCCTAGCGTGTGCAAAGTAAAAAGAACAAGGGCCTAGCGCGTGCAAAATAAAACGAACAAGGGCCTAGCGTGTGCAAAATAAAATGAACAAGGGCCTAGCGTGTGCAAAATAAAAAGAACAAGGGCATAGCGTGTGCAAAATAGCTAGAACAAGGGCCTAGCGTGTGCAAAATAAAAAGAACAAGGGCCTAGCGTGTGCAAAGTAAAAAGAACAAGGGCCTAGCGCGTGCAAAATAAAACGAACAAGGGCCTAGTGTGTGCAAAATAAAATGAACAAGGGCCTAGCGTGTGCAAAATAAAAAGAACAAGGGCATAGCGTGTGCAAAATAGCTAGAACAAGGGCCTAGCGTGTGCATCATAAAAAGAACAAGGGCCTAGCGTGTGCAAAGTAAAAAGAACAAGGGCCTAGCGCGTGCAAAATAAAACGAACAAGGGCATAGCGTGTGCAAAATAAAATGAACAAGGGCCTAGCGTGTGCAAAATAAAAAGAACAAGGGCCTAGCGTGTGCAAAATTGCAAGAACAAGGGCCTAGCGTGTGCAAAATTGCAAGAACAAGGGCCTAGCGAGTGCAAAATTGCAAGAACAAGGGCCTAGCGTGTGCAAAATTGCAAGAACAAGGGCCTAGCGTGTGCAAAATAGCAAGAGCAAGGGCCTAGCGTATGCAAAAAATCAAGAACAAGGGCCTAGCGTTCGCGAAATAGCAAGAACAAGGGCATAGCGTGTGCAAAATAAAAAGAACAAGGGTCTAGCATGTGCAAAGGTGCAAGAACAAGTGCCTAGCGTGTGCAAAATAAAAAGAACAAGGGCATAGCGTGTGCAAAATAGCAAGAACAAGGGCCTAGCTTGTGCAAAACAAAAAGAACAAGGGCCTAGCGTGTGCAAAATAAAAAGAACAAGGGCCTAGCGTGTGCAAAATAAAAAGAACAAGGGCATAGTGTGTGCAAAATAAAAAGAACAAGGGCCTAGCGTGTGCAAAATAAAAAGAACAAGGGCCTAGCGTGTGCAAAATTGCAAGAACAAGGGCCTGGCGTGTGCAAAATTGCAAGAACAAGGGCCTAGCGAGTGCAAAATTGCAAGAACAAGGGCCTAGCGTGTGCAAAATTGCAAGAACAAGGGCCTAGGGAGTGCAAAATAGCAAGAGCAAGGGCCTAGCGTATGCAAAAAATCAAGAACAAGGGCCTAGCGTTCGCGAAATAGCAAGAACAAGGGCATAGCGTGTGCAAAATAAAAAGAACAAGGGTCTAGCATGTGCAAAGGTGCAAGAACAAGTGCATAGCGTGTGCAAAATAAAAAGAACAAGGGCATAGCGTGTGCAAAATAGCAAGAACAAGGGCCTAGCTTGTGCAAAATAAAAAGAACAAGGGCTTAGCGTGTGCAAAATAAAAAGAACAAGGGCCTAGCGTGTGCAAAATAAAAAGAACAAGGGCATAGCGTGTGCAAAATAAAAAGAACAAGGGCCTAGCGTGTGCAAAATAAAAAGAACAATGGCCTAGCGTGTGCAAAATTGCAAGAACAAGGGCCTAGCATATGCAAAAAATCAAGAACAAGGGCCTAGCGTGTGCAAAATAAAAAGAACAAGGGTCTAGCATGTGCAAAATTGCAAGAACAAGGGCCTAGCGTGTGCAATGTTAAAAGAACAAAGGCCTAGCGTTTGCAAAATAAAAAGAACAAGGGCATAGCGTGTGCAAAATAGCAAGAACAAGGGCCTAGTGTGTGCAAAATAAAAAGAACAAGGGCCTAGCGTGTGCAAAATTGCAAGAACAAGGGCCTAGCGTGTGCAAAATTGCAAGAACAAGGGCCTGGCGAGTGCAAAATAGCAAGAGCAAAGTCCTAGCCTGTGCAAAAAATCA